GCGTGCTTTTCCAATGATCCTGGGCCTTCTCTTTCTGGGTTCCAAGGCTCTTATACACAGAAGAATGGCTTTGATGGAGGTGCAGTTTTCATCCTTTTTTTTAAATTAAAACATTTTTTAAAGTTAAAATTTTTTTATTTATTTATGTTATTATTAATTTAGTTTTTATCTTTTTTTTTGTTTTTATCTTATAGCTGACCATAACCCCAAGGAAAATGAAGAATGGAGTCTTAAGTCACACCCTCTAGTAAAGTAGTCTTAAAGATACAGGCCACTATAATCCTGAAGTCCAGAACACCCTCCAAAATGAAATTACAGCCATAGGCATAAAGCTCAGAATTATAATACATCAACTAAGGAATTATAGCTATAAGAGCCAAATTAATTGACTGTACCTCAGAGGTGTTTTGCAGCACATTTGCCCAATGCAATATACCATTCAATTTTTTTCTTTTAAAGTTTTATTGTGAATCGAGTGAAGGTCTACAAAGCAGATCACCAGTTTTACATTCAATAATCCACACACATTTTGTTTCATTTCACTGATCACAATTCCCTCAATGTAACATCACTTGTCCTACCCACTTCCTGTGTTTTCCATTTCTGTTCATTCTTTCTCTAATCCTTCTGAACTTTGGCCTTGGGTAAATGCTGCCCTTTTGATCCCAAGTGGTTGACTATTCTCAGGCGTGTGTACCTCACTAGTGTTATTGTTCAGCCTTATAGATCTGTCTATTGATTGACTGAAAATTGGGCCAAAGAGTTAAGTTCCAGACCCCTGAAGAGTGACTAAGGGCCAACTGGTAGACTAAGCTCTACCAGTCTCTGTCAGACCAGTAAGTCTGGTCTTTTAGGACTTTTGTTCCCACTTCTTCTCCCACTCTACTCAGGACCTTTTGAAGGAGCCCTGGTAGTGCAGTGGTGACACACCGGCAGTGAGCTGCATGGTGGGCAGTTCAAAACCACCAGCTGCTCCACAGGGGAAAGACTGGGCTTTCTATTCTGGTAAACAGTTACAGTCTCTGAAACCCACAGGGGTCACGATGAGTCAGCCTTGACTCATGGCCGTGAGTGAGTATCCAGGAGTTTTAATGTAATCCCTTTCAGAGCAGTTGGGAACTGGCATCATTTAGTTCTTCTAGTCTCAGGGTCATGGAAACGTACTCTTGTGGTCTCATTGTCTATTGGACTGGTCATTTTCATATATCTTTGATTTTCATAACCTTTCTGTCCTCTAAACCAATAGTTGTACCTTAGATGGCTGCTTACCAGCTGTTAAGATCCCAGTAGCTATTCATCAAAGCAGGATGTTGAACACTGTCTTTCTGTTATGAAGATTTACCTTGGTGTTCCCTAAAACACTCATTTGATTACTTGACTGGTGCCTAATGGGCATTGTGAAGTCAAGTTAAAAAAAATGCTTGGTAACTTAAATCTTTTATGTTTATCATCGTGTTACTTATTGGTCCAGTTATACGGATTTTTCTCTCTCTCTATGTTAAAGTGTAATCCATATTGAAGGCTGCATGGGGCCTTTGGTCTGTGTCAGTCATTATGTCAAATCCTCTTCCCTTGTCATCTGCATGATGTACATGGTTCCTGAGTCTTCCCCCAATCTCAATGCCTCTTCTTCTTCATATAGTCCAGCATTATGAATTATTTGCTCAGCATAGAGATTGAATAGTGTACAGTGCAAGGACACAACCCTGACACACACACACCTTGATTAATATATTACTAAAGTAACTGCTTCATTTTTACTTTTAAAAAAATGTA